GAACAAAACCCCAGCCGACTCGAAGGGCGGCCCAGTACCGAGCAGTAAAGGACACAGCGGAGGCAGAACCCAAGGTGACTTGTGGAAGGTGGCCCCAAGCCCCAAGGGCAGTACTTACAGGGCCCCTAGGGAAGATAGCCCTAGGCACATGCAGCCAGAGTACTGTGGAATCTCACTCCTGGCTCACACCCCACCGGTAGAGACAGTCCACACCACAAGGCACAGAACTGAAACAAAAACCGGAGCCAGAGGCAATCGACCAGCCAGTATACCATCAGCCAAGAACTGGCAGTTGGATTGCCGGTGTGGAGGGTCTGGGGCTTCCCCTTCCCCCTCTCAGGGAGGGGGGAGGGGGGAGGTTGCACAGGCGGTGGCGCGGCAACGTGATGACGTCATGCTAGTCTGATAATTTTGTTTGGGGAGTTTTGTCCACTCGTTCGGCTTTCAGTAGCAATAATTTCACCAGAATAGGGGTTTGTTTTGGGGCGCCTACCTTTCTGTGCCTGTCCCGGTCGATGGCAGACATAGAATGCTCCCAATCACAAAGGGGTTTCTATAGGCCATTGCTCCTCGTGCCTCTCTGAGGGGGCCAGGTTCTGGCTCGTGGTCCCCGGTAGGCAAGAACTCCTAGCACTTTGACTGATGCCAGAAAGTTATACATATCCATTCAGCCTGGATAGGTCCGGGAAGCCGACGGGGCTCCCCCCAGAAAATTAACTTTAAAGTAAATTTTATACCCAATTCACCCAAATCTTCACTACAAAAGTATGTACAAGTTATTACCTACATTTACTGACGACTCCTATTGGCGTATGGAAGATGGGAGAGGAGGGGGGGGAGGAGGAGAGGTGCTATTGTTTGGAAGGAGAGTCCCCTTCTATTAAAACATCAGGCAGTGATGATTTCTCTGGGGTACACTCTCTCCTACGTTTTGCCTGCATACCACTAGGACCTGGTTGAGGTTCACTGCTAGTTTGTCTCACTAAAAATTTGTCTACAACACTTGTTTTTCCCTTTGTTTTAACATTTGTCTGTAGTGATGCTTCACAGTGTCATTGAAAAGGTTAAGGCAATGGCGTATTGCAGCTTGATTTAGGCGAGTCGTTTCAGCTATAGTTTACAGTTCTTCACATGCTGCATGCCCTACCACTTGGGCTAGACGGTAGAGCGACGGTTTCGCTTCATGCAGGTCGGCGTTCAATACCCAACCGTCCAAGTGGTTGGGTCCCATTCCTTTCCCCCTGTCCCATCTTAAATCCTTATCCTGACCCCTTCCCAGTGCTATATAGTCGTAGTGGCTTGGCACTTTCCCCTGATAGTTCCCTTCCCTTCCCATGCTGCACACATTTTCTTAATTTTTGAGGCAGGGATATTCTGTACTGTCTCTATGGTCATCCTCACTTGTGTTTTCATATGTTGAACCTTACCACTGACTTTCTTGGGACCCATGGCATGATAAATAATCAGTTTTATGTTTAAAAAGCAAAAAAACACACCCGAAAAATAGAATTTCTTATAAGCATGATTGTCATTAAGCAGGCAGCTGTAGTAAACTGAGGCAGGTCGGCTCGCGCGACTGGTCGACCCGAACGTGTATTAACAAATATCGTTAGTCGACGACACTATCGTAGGTCGAGTCACATTTTCCGATCAAATTTATATCGTAACTCGAGGTGCCACTAAAAAATAATAATAATAATATTATTAATACACACAGAAATCACACTAACATGATATATATCAATGAGAAAATTCACTGGGGCTGTGAGGCAACGTGAATCTGTGACCAAGGCATTGTCAGCCACATTCCACCACTGTACCACTGTGGCTTGTATAAGTCATACAACCGGATTTCTACTGAAATTACAGGAAGTCTGGAGGCCCTTACTGAAGCCAGTCCAAGATTTTATGTATGACCCACAAGCACTTGGGTGGAAGAGCAAAGTGGTCCCACACCACTTAAGATACCAATTCAGATTCAGATACCGCCCCAACTTCAGATACACACAGAAATCACTAACATGATATATATCAATAAGAAAATCCACTGGAGCAGTGAGGCAACACCACATAGTCCTACACCATACGCCCCACAGGTTTAAGGTGTAGAACCACTTTGCATTTCCACCCGAGTGCTTGTAGGTCAAGCGTAAAACTTGGACTGGCTTCAGAAGGGGCCTCCAGACTTCCTGTGATTTCAGTAGAAATCCGGTTGTTTGACTTTTTCAGGTCAGTGGTGGTACAGTGGTAGAATGTGGAACCTGTGACCAATGCATTGGTCACATGTTCGCGTTGCCACACAGCTTTAGTGGATTTAATAATAATATTGATTTTACAGAGAACCTGATTAGTGATTCCATAGATGTTTATATTATTTATATATAGTCACTTATCATGGAGTGTCAAGCATACCTTAAGGTTCCAAAGCTATAAAATTAAAAATGATAAATAATAAACCTTCCATAACTTAAATATTAAAGACCAGCGAGTATTTTGACATTATAAATACCAAAACCTATTATAAATCTATTACATTATTAATTAGAGATTAAAATGGCCCAAGTCACATTGAAATTAATATTTTTGAAAAAAAAAAAAAAAAAAAAAAAAAAAAAGCGTTGAATGTAATGAAACGCCATTTTCTGGGCGAGTTCCGGAGGCTTCCTGGAGCTATCCAGGCTGAATGGATATGTATAACGTTCTGGCATCAGTCAATGTGCTTGGAGTTCTTGCCTACCGGGGACCCAGAGTCAGAACCTGGCCCCCTCAGAGAGGCATGAGGAGCAATGGCCTATAGAAACCCCCATGATGTTGGGAGAATTCTATGTCTGCCATCTACCAGGACAAGCACCCAGAAACTATTGCTACCAAAAACCGAACGAGTGGACAGAACTTCCCAAACAAAGATTAGCAAACGACACACAGAAATCACAATTGCGTGACGCATCAAATGAACAAATCCACAAGGGCCGTGACGAGGATTCGAACCTGTGTCTGAGAGCATCCCAGACGCTGCCTTAATCGACTGAGCTACAACATGGTCAAAAGGAGTTGAAACCGAAGTTCTACTGAACTTACTGGATCCTGCAACCTCTCCGAGGCACAAACCAGGGTTTTACACAACTTCCCCCACGCACTCGAACCATGTCAATAAGCTGTTCTCCCTCTTCGCCCTTCATTACACACAGAAATCACAATTGCGTGATACATCATATGAACAAATCCACAAAGGCCGTGACGAGGATTCGAACCTGCGTCCAAGAGCATCCCAGACGCTGCTTTAATCGACCGAGTTACGACATGGTCAAAAGAAGTTGAAACCGAAGTTTTACTGAACTTACTGGATCCTGCAGCCTCTCCGAGGCACAAACCAGGGTTTTACACAACTCCCCCATGCAATCGAGCTATGTCCTCAGTGCAGCTGAGGGAGAACGGCCTATTGACATAGGTCTTGGACTTGGAGGTTTCCAGGGCAGACCCTGCAACTAGAAACCTTTAGACGCTTTGGGGCCGGAAGCAAGGAGGGAGGAACCGGATGCAAAACGGAATGGGAACGACTAGGAGGGGCGGACGGAACCAGAGCCGAAGCAATTCCCACCCCAAAGTCCGGATCCCTATAACCAAAACGGGGCAGTCGCAGGGCATCTGAGGCCGCAACCAACCTGGCGCGTTGCAGCAACCTAAATCTAGCATGAAACGCAGCAGCTGCTTGCACCCTCATATCAGTATCAGTAGCTTGGGTGAACTGGAGCACGTACAGACAACAAACGTCGCACGACTCCGTGTCAAAGGAATCACTGACCCAACAGGTAGCATGGCGAAGACAACTGGCGAGTGTCACCCTGAGACAAGGGGAAAGAACAATCTTCAAGCTCACACGAAGCGAGAGGGAACTCAAGGGTCACATCCTTCGAACCACGGAGCCCCCCGTGGGGTTTCCCAGGGCCCTTAGCCTTATTAACCCGATAAGGGAAGCCCAGGCAGGGTACTGCGAATTGGCGCCCAAGTCTACAAAACTGCTAAAAGTTGAACCCCCGGGATGTGTCCACTCACGGGGGGCCAAGCGGGGTATACAATACCACCAAAACACAATATAATACATATATACCCCACAACAGCTAAGGGGAAACCATAAAGGCAGACAATAAAGAGGACAACGTACCCCAGGCGAAAAGACCCAGCCGCTATAATTGGTGAAAACTAACTGTGCAGTACCCCGCGCCCCTACCAGTGATGAAAACTACCCCTACCCAGGGACACACAACGGCAAGAAAACCCCAGCTGACCCCAAGGGCGGCCAAGTAATGAGCAGTAAAAGGCACAGCGGGGTAGATCCCAAAGTGACTTGTGGAAGGTGGCCCCAGGCCCCAAGGGCAGTACTTACTAGGCACCTAGGGAAGGTAGCCCTAGGCGCATGCAGCCCGAGTACCGTGGAATATTACTCCTGGCTCACACACCACCTGGAGAGACAGCCCATGTCACAAGACACAGAACCGAGACAAGAAATTCAGAGCCAGAGGCACAAGACTTTCCCAGAATCACATCAGCCAAGAACTGAAGGTTGGGTCGTCAGTGTGAGGGTCTAGGGCTCCCTCTTCCCCCTCCTGGGGAGGGGGGGTTTGCACAGACAGCGGTGCGGCAATATGATGACATCATGCTTGTTTACTATTTTTCGTTTGGGGAGATCTATCCACTCGTTCGGTTTTTGGTAGCAATAGTTTCACCAGAATAAGGGTTCATTTTGGGACGCCTACCTTTCTGGGTGCCTGTCCCAGTTGATGGCAGACATAGAATGCTCCCAACCACCTTATACATATCCATTCAGCCTGGATAGCTCCAGGAAGCCGACAGGGTTCTCCCCAGAAAATCAAAATGTATACATTAGTTTACCTCAATGTTGCATACAAAGATAGCAACAAAATCTACACTACAAATTTGGAGGAGCAGATAAGAGTAGCAAGAACACTAATTTAATGGAGATTATCCATAAAGGATCTTACTACATAGTTCTGTGTGTGCGCGCCACCAATCAGGTGTTTGAACATTGCCTCCATTTTACTGTGGCTGCCACACAGGTTACACTTGAAGTACGGCATTCCGGTTTCAGTCTCTCTGAGCTCTTCAACATTTTGAAGACCTGTAGAAATAAGGAATATTAAAATAAAATGGGAAGATAGATAAGGAAGCAAGATTTGTGGCAGGTGGAAAAGGAGAGTGGGGAGAGAAGGGCAGGGGGGGGGGGGCAGGAAAAGAGGGGAAAAGAGAAAAAACCAGCGTTGAATGTAATGAAACGCCATTTTCTGGGTGAAGCCCGGAGGCTTCCTGGAGCTATCGGGCTAATGTGTGATATATTAGACCAGGGCATTAGTCTAAGGAGTTCAACCTACCGAGGACCACTAGTCAGAATCTGGCCTAACCCCACAGAGAGGTTGCAGGGAGCAATAGCCCTGGAAAACCCCCATGTGGTTGGGGGGTTTTCTTATGTCATCGACCAGGGTTAGGCACCCAGAAAGATAGACATAAAACAAACCCTACATTGAAAGAAAATTACAACTAAAAACCAAAAAGAGAGGTAGAACTCCCTCCAAGTACAAGGAAACAAAAAACAAGTGAATGTCACACTCCACTGCCGCACCGCTCATCCACGTAGCCCTCCCCTCCCCTCCCTGGCTACCCAGCACTCCAGTTAGGAAGTTAAGCATCAAACAACGCGGAACACCGCCGATCGGAGTTAGGGAGGGTTGCCAGGGAGCTTCCAGGGTTCACCCAGAAAATGACGTTTCATTACATTCAACGCTGGTTTTCTGTGGGCAGCCCCCTTCGGCTCCCTGAAGCTACGTAATCAAAGATAAAGAAAAGAGGGACTTACCTGGGAGGCGGCCGCCACAAACTCCTCAACACGCAGTCGAAACAATTGGCTGCAACTTGCAACCCAAAACAACACAGGAATGCCCAGGAGCAGGAACGATAACCAAATAACGAGTGGCCAGGACCCTTTTCAACCTCCAAAATCCTTGCACCCTAATATCAGCCGAAGACATGTTGCCAAACACAGCAGCCAATGCAGTAAACTTCCTAATATCATGGGCACAAGGACAGACTGCAGGCTGGCTAGACTTAACTCTTCGGATGACCTGGGAGACCTGAGCCCCAGAACAGGGAACAAGGGAAACCGGATCAACCCAAAGCCTGCTGATAACGGCAGAGAGCCGAAACTGGACAACACATGATGCACTCCCGGCTTAACTAACCAAACATCAATGACGCAAGGACCCTTCCAGAAAGCAGGCGTCTCGTTCTTCATCAGAAAAGGAGGTGGTGTCTGCTGCAACCGAACAAACCTACCACCAGAACCGAAAGAGCAGAAACCCATGCACCAGAGGAGAGCATGCAGCTCCCCAACCCAACCCTCAGAGGCCAATGCCAACAGAAACAGAGACTTGGAAAAACAATCTTGAACCGAAGGGGCCACCACAAACCGAGGAGGTGATATATAGAAGAGCACCCTGTCCAAGGACCAGGACGGCTTAGCCGACACATGAGCAAACCAGAGGTGAAACAATGTACAAGAAAGCTTACAATATGGGGCAGAAATAACATCCACCCTGAATGCGAACTGGAGAGGCTCTGCCAGCACTGTACGATACGAGGCGACAGTATTAGGCATCAAATGACGGTCCTGAAAAAGCCAAGACAGAAAGGACAAGACAACCCGATCAGAAATAGAAGACAACCTACGAAGAGAGAGCAAATGGCAGAAAAAACACCAGGAAACTTCATACTGTCGCCAAGACGAAGCTCTCAGGTGGGATACCATCAACGAAACCACCTGATCACCATACAAATGGTGATAAACCCGCGTCAAAAAGACCAGACACAAAGAGCGGAGGAGAAGAGCCGTGTACCAAACTGGTCTGACCTGCTGGAAGAGGCGTAGCCGTGGGAAATGTCTCTGGTTCTCACACCGAGCAAGCAGTGCCTGGAAACAAGGCTGGACTGGCTAGCAAGGGCCACGAGGACTATTCTTCCTTGGTAGAACTCTAACTGAGCCAGAACCTGAGGAACAGGTAACCCCACCTCAACCAGTCCTGCCTGAAGGCATCGACCCCGACGGACTTGCAATAGGGAAAGGGGCACCACATATACCGGGAGACAACGAGACCACACCGACGTGAAGAGGTCCACGTTGGCATCGGCGTCAACCGTCCAGTTCGGGGACAGAAGAATGAACCGAGACAGCCATCCGCTAGGACGTCGGACACTCTCCGGATATGAACTGCACGGAGAGCCAAACGCCGAGAAGTCAGCAGACAAGCTACTCGAAGCAACCAGCCCCAAAGAGGCAAGGACCGAAGAGAACTTCCATAGTTCAGGCAATGAACCACTGGAACAGTCTGAATGGAGCCGGATGGTCGAACCTTGAGCGTCCTGAAACCTACAAAGCGAAAGCCAAACCACCGAGAAGTCCCACACCGTGCTGTGAACCCGACAGAAGGACGGACCGCATCGCCCTTGACCAGCCTAGTGAACACTGGTCACAAAGCCTCAACCAAGAGATGACGCGTCTGTGAACACATCGAGCGAGGGCTTGGGTAGGCACCAAGGTACTGAACCCCCGAAAACTCCGAAGAGGAAGACGGCAACTCGCCCACCCAGGTAAACCTGCAGAACGGTTTAAGTTTCTCGCCACTCAAATGTGCGGGACCTACAAAACCCATGCCATGCCCCTAACGAAAAGAAAAGGCAGTCTGCCAGCCAGGAAGACTCCGGAACCTCCAAACGCACCTAATACGGGAAAGAAGAACTGAACTCAAACAAGGATGGATCCATAATGGAAGTGAAATCCAGGTCTCGCAGGATGTATGCAGCAAGAGCCTCCCGAACCTCCTGCGGGGAGATACAAGAGGCAGAAAACCTCCAGAAGGACAGGGCAGAGGAACCCAAGGGAGCACGGAACCGAACCCAGGGAGGAGCCAAAATTAAATCACTACTACAGAGAAGGGGGGGGGGGGGGGTTAAGAAAACCCCTTCCTCTGTTTCACATGCAACAATAAGCCCCGCAAAGAGGGCACTAACACCCAAGCGGGGTCAAAGGGGGGCCTAAGGTCCCCAGGTCGACTCCTCCCCAGCCCTGGGATCCTCTAAGTCGGGACCCATGGCAGAGCAGTCCTCCATACCCTCCATCCCTGAAGAAAAAGCAGAGTCCAGGGGAAAGGTTGAAAAGAAGGGGGGGCCTGCTGGTGGGACCCTTGAAGCCTCAGCAGGAGAAACCGGCTCGAATGCCTCCATCCACAACCCAAATAGGGTTGGTGCAGGGTGGGGGAGTTGGTACAGGGTGAACAACAGGGGGAAGAACCAGGGAGCGTGGACTGAACCAAAGTTGAAGGAACTAACACCCCCCAGGTCGAGGTCCCTGTAACCAACAGGGCAGCTGTGGGGCATCCGAGTGGGAAACCAACCTAGCGTGTTGTAGCAACCTAAACCTCGGATGCAACACGGATGCTGCCTGTACCCTAAGAGTAATGTCATCAGAATTATACTGGAGAATAAGCAGAGAACATGGCTCACAAGACTCCGACTCAAAAGTGTCATTGACCCAACAGGCAGCATGACGGAGGCAAAAGAGGTGACTGTCACCCTGAGACAAGGGCACACAGTAGCCTTTGGACCCGCACAAGGTGGGATGGAACTCAGAAGACGCATCCATTGGTTCACTGAGCCCCAATAGGGTTTTCCAGGGCCCGTAGACTGAATGCTACAGGAAATAAGAGCAAGGTGTTGCTATCCGGTTTAAGACCCAAATCTAACGAGTGAGATCAAAACACTGAATCCCCTGCAACATGTACAATCACAGAGGCCTAGCAGAGCGCCACCAAAATATTATAAGTAGAATGATTGCCACACCAGGCACACCCCCACCAGGCAAGAAAAACAAAAACAAAATAAAACCCACATAAAGTACAACGTCCCCAGAGAAAACATAAACAGGCCACCGCACAGGTAGGCAGGCAGCACATCATCTTGACACCCCAACCAGCACGATACCACTCCCTAAGGCCAAACAAAAGTCACGAAACCCCAGCTGGCCCCAAGGGCAGGGTAAATGCCGAGCAGCAAAAACCCCAATGGAAATGGTTATCCAGAACGCACCAGGGAAGGGAATCCTTAACACGCAAGGGCAGTACTCACAGGGCGCCTCCACCAGCTTCTCACTTACCTTGTTCCATCTGTCTACCACTCTGTTTGCAAAAGAAAACTTTCTAATGTTTTTTTCGGCACCTGTTTCCTTAGCTTGAAACCGTGTCCTCTTGTTCGAGAAGTTTCTGATTTCAGGAATTCCTCCTTGTCAATTTGGTCAATTCCTGTTAGAATTTTGTATGTGGTGATTTCTGATTTCTGAGAAGTTTCTGATTTCAGGAATTCCTCCTTGTCAATTTGGTCAATTCCTGTTAGAATTTTGTATGTGGTGATCATATCACCTCTCTTCCTTCCATCTTCTAATTCAGGTACAGTATGTTTAATGTCTGTAGTCTCTACTCATAACTCTTTGTTTTTCAGTTCCTGGGTACCTTGTTGCATGCCACTGCACCTTTCTAGTTTCTTTATGTGCTTCTTGAGACTCGGGCACTATACAACTGCTGCATATTCCAGTTTTGATCTCACGAAAGTCATGAACAGTTTCTTTAACCCATAAATGGAGCATGGCTATATACCATTTGACACCCACAGGTGAATACAAAAAAATACAAAAAAATTATTTTTTCTTCCTAACCTGTTAAATTTATGTTCACTGATCATGGGAAAAAATAAAAAAAATCGTAAGTGGCATATTTTGCCTGCTATAGAGCGAGGAAGTCTGGCAAAAAACAGGCGCTGACTCAGCGTGCGTCCCAGATGGTCTGTTGCTCGCCAACTGTCAGGCCGGAGTTGCCACAAAGAGATAATTACCTAATTATTTCAATGTCTGATTGATTTTTCATAGTTTTTTTGCTGTAATATTATTCAATAGTGTGTAGTGTGATATATTTATATAATAAGATGAGTGAATCATCGCTGCACTCAAAAATATGGTGTGCATATTGTTGATTCAATTATGTTCATCAAACAGTGAACAAATACTTTGTCAGTTATTACACT